TTTCCTGAATCGATTCAAGTTAAACATGTGAGCTATTGTGAACAGAATCACTTGCTCAGTGTTATCATGTTTTTTGTCAGAACCAAAGATTTCAATTTTATTTCTTTGTGTGATTGTGAATTCAGACTTATGAACTGTAACTTAACAACTGCTCAATCAATATTCATTGTTATTAAATGGTTTCCTAACTAACGTCACTCATCAGCATATGTTATCATCAAAGATTTAAAATTTTGGACGGTTTTTAAGATATTTCTTTAGTAATTTTATTCGCATGTCATCATTTGGACAGGTTGGGTCAGCTTATTCAATTAAACTAGTTTTTATAAATAAATAAGTGAAAATGTTCAATATGAGGTTAAATAATTAAGTAATATAAACTTGGAATGTTCATTACCGAGAAGCACCTGAGAAATATTTTCTGCTGTAGGGAGATAAGAAGGGTTGTTGAATCTTGTGGTTCTTTAACTTACTTACTTAATTACTTAAGCCTGTTACTCCCAATTGAGCATAGGCTGCCAACCAGCATTCTCTAACCCACTACTTCCCCGGGCTTCCTTTCCAGTTCTATCCAAGTTTTGTTCATTCTTCTCATATCTGTCTCCATTTCTCGACGTAATGTGTTCTTTGGTCTTCCTCTTTTCCTTTGGCCTTCAGGATTCCAAGCAAGGGCTTGTCTTGTGACGCGGTTGGGTGCTTTCTTCAATGTGTGTCATATCCACTTGCAGCACTTCTTCCTGATTTCTTCCTCCGCTAAGATGTGGTTTATTCTCTTCCATAGTAAGTTGTTGCTGATAGTATCCGGCCAACGGATCTGAAGTATTTTGTATAGCCAGCTGTTCAGAAACACTTGTATCTTCTAGATGATAGCTTTCGTAGTCCTCCAAGTTTTCGTCCCATACAGTAGAACTGTCTTGACATTTGTATTGAAAATTCTGACCTTGGTCATATAACACCGGCTTACTTTAATTAAAAAACTAATGAAAACCTGGAAAAATTTGACGAATATTTCGTATTGGTATGAGACTCCACAGTAATCACAGCATGCTAGATGTGACATCAATATGTTTTTAAATAAGTGGACGCCTCAAAGGAGTCTTATGCTAACACGTAACCTTTGTTTAGTGCTTTCTGATTTGCAATAGCTATTTAACTAAAGTGAGTTCATAATGTTAATTTACACAACTGAAAACTATATTCTCATTCAACATTTATGACGTCAAACACTATTCGTTGCAATAATCTATGATCTTAGTACCCGCCTATTATTAAACATTTTAACCAATCTTCAGATAAAGAAAAATAATGATTGACACGATAACGATTTCCTATTAATATCTAATGAATCTCAACAGTTGAAATCATGAGCCAATTGTAGCTAGACCACCATGGAAAACCTGGAAGCACTGGACGGCCGTTTCGTCCTAGTATGGAACTCCTCAGCGGAGCGCATCCACGACCTGGCCTCGTGGCCGTCCAGTGCTTCCAGGCTTTCCATGGTGGCCTAGCTTCAATTGACTCATGATCTCAACTGCTGAAATTACTACAATCTCCACCAAACCCCTTGTGAATCTAATGAATCAACAAGTAATAAATAATATATATAAATATGTGAAAGAACTTTTCAGATAGCTTTTTATGTATATATTTACATCATTCAGAATAAAACTTTTATTTAAGCAGCAGAATAAATAAAACATATGAATTAAAACAAACAAACTTCCGAAATAAGTAATATACACTACTTATTCATGAAAAACAGTAGTGTATTTATTATTTTAATTTGCCATAAACTATATTTTACTGGGTTGCCTTTCAGATTGGTTATTAATTGCTAACCGATATCAAGTTTATTTCATTCGTATTGCTGATATAATATGATTGATCAAGTTACAATATAGCCATTAAGTGTATCATATTTTATTGCTACCTGGATAATGATTTCCAGTCAACTATCTTCAATCATTTAATATCAGGTTATTATATAATATACATTTTTAAAATAACTGATGTTTAAAGTGAGGTGAGAAGAAGATTATTTAAGGAATATATAAACTGTTAGAAACTCCACAATATTAATAACTCACGACTTCATAATGGACTGAAACAAGGACCTTAGATGATCTTAGTAACCATAATACTATTTAACCATATAGATTGAATTTACTAATAACCACATATATTACCACCTCTGAATTAACTACTTTTATGAATCCGGTGTCCATCTTGTGTTGATGAGGTATGGCAACTTGGACCGATGCATATATGTGCCTGATCCTACGTTGTAGCTGACTGACTGACTGACATGACGCCAACTTCATAAAATTAAGACAATTTTTTTTTATTTTCTCAGAAAATTTATCACGGTAAAGCTATACTATAATTTTTTAATAGTTGTATACTCTTAAAGACTTCTAGAGTATAGTTCAAATAAAAAGGGGTTTAAACATTAATAAAATATCAATTCATTATTATTTGGTATTGTACTTGACCTATATGTCTAATCCACAGAGTATCAGCATTTCGTCAAAACATTCAACATGTTGCAGTTGGTAACCAAAGTGGGTTTGTAAGTTATTCATCCTCTTAAGATCTTTTTGGTGTTGTTTTTTTTTGCAGCACTAGTTCAGTATTAACGTCTTCCAACTCATTCATGTATAGTCTCTCTACTTACCAATTTGGTTTAAACATTGAGCATCTGCTTTATTAGTGAATCATCAAAATTTGTTACCGATTTATATGTTATTTATATCGCTTTTTTATTGTATTCATCGATAAGTATCAAGATCAGTATTAGCTATTTAACTTCCATTCTTTATTACTGAAGATGAAAATGTCCAGGATTATTTAATCAATTTCGTTTTTATAGTAAAGCAATTATTTCATATCACTACGCACTGGTAGTGTCTTCAGTTATTCAATGAATAATATTATTTACCATGAAAGAAGTAATTACTAACAATTATAGTTTAAGAATAATCAGAAAATAAGTTTAAAAGTAGTCCTTTAACAGTAAAATACATTTAATTTGAGTCCACAAAATATTCATTAACAAAATCGTTCACTCAAAATCTATTTTATATCATAAACTGATGTACATTGAAGAACTATCTAAAACCTTGAAATAATCAATAGTGAACATTATCAACACCAGGAGACTTCGACCTGATCTGTAAGGCGGTGAAGCGACGTCAGAAGATTCAGTCCCTTGGTAACCGGTGACCAATAATTGGTTCATACGTCAATTGTTCCCTCAGGGTCATGGAGCCCATGTGCACCATCGGTTCGGAATAAGGGTTTTTCAACTCCTCTAGGCCGATACTTCATATCCACCAACCCAGTTAGAGCGTCAGACATTCGCTTTTCATCCTTTCAATTTCGCAAACAACATCCCCGCCGCGAGAAGTCAGTGAGTAGAACTTCTGTGGCAGTGGTTGTATGCACATGGCCATCTGAAAGCATTTCGAATGGGACAGTTGACTCACCCCACTCTCGGCCGTACTAGGGCATTTGGAGATACATAAAATCCCATAAGCAAAACCTATTACTACTGGTAGTCATTTAAACGCGAATTTTTTCAATTAAATACGATTGTTTGATAACTGATATTTTTACTTAGGAAACATCTAAATTTATAATTATACAACTCATCAAGGTTATTTCATTAAACATGAATTTATATATCCGTTTGTAGTTATTATGTATTGACACTAAATAATTAGCATAACTTCAGACCGTCTAAAATAGTCCACGTATATACATATTCACGGATTAAATTAAAATCCACTGCATTTCTATTAAATTTAGTAAGTCATATGTCCCTCAAGGTCAGTAAATGATTGATTGTCTCTTTTTACTGTAACATGCTACATATATGCAAATATATATGAATTAATTTGCATGTTATTTATTAGTAGTCATTTGTTTTGAGTTCACACAGTCCACTAAATCTAGTATATCAAGTATAGATTATTTGTAAAATAATAAGAAGCATTTTTATTTGATGATAATATGTAGTGATAGAATGGTATGACTGATCATGAAGTAAGCGAAATTTCTAAGGGGAGCTATAGATATTTGAAAAAAACAATTATTTCCAATAATTGAGATCGTGAACAGGTCAATGTTAGATCATCATTGAAAACCTGGAGACCCTGGACGACCATTTCGTTTTAGTATCGGATTCCTCATCCGTGCTCATTTACGATCGCGCGAGCGGTACTCGAAACCAAAACCTTCGATCACTCGACCACTGTACCAGCACTCAGGAGTATCAATGTTCAGTTTCAACCAACTCACAATATTGCGCAATCATTCTATTTAAATATAATTGAATCAAATAATTTCATCAAATGTAAATCTACATAAATTGTTAATTCATTAGGAAGATTGTTTCACCAACACAGCAAAGGTTCATCTCTTTCCCTAATGTTCTCCGTCATACGTCATAATAGAATCTGGATCTTCATACCATTGAAAGCAAAAATAAAAATTTCGTTTTGTTTAAAACATACTAGTTGATGATCATATCAAAACTCGAATCCAATAGCTATTGTTATGAATATCACAGCTTCAATGATTTAGTCCTAAATAACAACAGTATAATAAAAACACCCACAAGATATTGGAAACTGTCATGATTTATCAACCCTATGGATAACACCATCTAAACGTTGATTACTATGTTCAAGTTTCATTAGTAGCATTAAAATCGAAATACAAATACATTCTTCAACTAACAAGTTCTGAATAGGCCCCCAAATGTTTATCTTGAATTCAACCTCTAGTTACCATATTTAATCGAATCAACTTGTTAGTGTTTCATTTGAAGAAGAGTTGGGTCTTTTTAGTTGTACTTGCAATTTAGTATCAAAGAAATTGTAGAAAAAAAACTTACAACAATAGCAATCAAATTGGAAGGATGAAAAACAAAACAAAAAACTCAACACATTTTAAAGAACAAACAACAATTATTCATCATTATTCAAAAGAAAACTTACGTAATTCACATGTGAATTATGTTTGTCCCATGTTTGTTCAACTTCTTTTTGTGCAACAATACAATAATTAATTGTAGATTCTAATCGATCATTACTACTATTGTTGGCGTCATTAGATACAGTATTATTATTATTATCATTAATAGATTGAGATATAATTGAATGTTGTTGAGATGATAAATTCAATTTGGAAATTTCTGAATACGATAAAGAAGTTGACATGGTATGGTTTGAAGGTGCTTTAAAGCAATAAAAGAGAAGAAAAAATGACTAGTTACGAATGAATAGTGCGGTGAGAATGTTACTGTAGATAATAGTTACTCAGTGATATAATTAGTTTGGTATCATATCAAAGACAATTATTAAATCTAAACTATCTTGTAAAGAAAATTAACTATGATATCGTTGAATGCTTCTACGAGAAGAGGAGATTCAAATATAAACGAAAAAATATGACTGTCTTACCGTAATTACCAATACGCATTCCTGGTACCTACTGACAAGCATGAACTAAAAGGTAATTACTTCTGATTAACATTTATATATAATCTACGACCAACTGTTTAGTTATTTGTTGAATAACTGTTAGATGAATACTATGAGATCTTCTTTTTCATTCTAAACCAATTTTAGAGTAATTTACACAGTGAAAGAATAATACACAATGAGCACAGATAAATTAGTTTGATATCAACAAAAATTAATGTAATATGTAAAAAAGTTACTAATTGACTGAATATTAATGCTCAAAATATTTAGTTCCAGTATCCGATCGTATATATATGTGTAATACCTCCATGATCGTTTACTTTAATTGATTAAGTATTACTGGAAAGAAGGATGTCATTTTCGTTTTGTTGAAGTAGGATAAAAGACACCAAAGAATGATATTTATACATAAGGCTACTAGTTACTGATTTTAAACTTAAACCTGTCTCATGATAACTACTATTAGTAGTCGGAGGCTTGGAGTGACGTGGTCCAGAATCATTCACAATAGCTATTTTTACTGTTTATTTTGTAAAACCTGAATTCCAGTATTACTTTATATATATCTAGCCAATATATCTTTTTAAATGTCATTCTTAATGTTTAGTCTCTCTCTCATCACTGTCACCACATTATTCCAATCTCTTTTGTTATTCACCTTATCAATTTTTTCTTGTTGTACTAATAAACTGTAGTAGATTGAGGTAATGAACATCTATGTCAAACTCTACGTTGATGATGACAAACTAATTGACTAGGATAATCTGTGAAACATTTTGATGACTATAAACTTAACAATAATTCTGATAACGTGTTGACATTACCCAAGAATTTATAAAAAAACTAAGAATAGCTGGTGACAACTTTCATCCTGAATTGGAATTTTTCAACAAATTGCATCATCGATTATTTCTCCTACGAGCACATTTCCATTTGTTACATCAGTCAGATATAGTGATTCAATCTCTCAAAGAATAACAGCTACTTGAGCATTTACATCTCCACGAATTTAAGTCATCTACAAACGACCTAGTCTCATTAGGCTTATATCATAATAAAGATATCAGTCTATCAATATGTAAGACAGTTTAGAACCTATCACAAACATATAAATTACTATTAGATATTAAATGACATAACTCAAAATCAGTAACAATGGTGAAATCACAGTACATTTAATATTCATCAGAAATCTTGAACTCATTATCATTGTTTACTAATATTCAACAATTTTAATTGTCCTTTTGGTAACATACTTCTTATATTTTTTGAGTTTTCCATATACTTTTTTTTCTGTTTTTTTCTTTTCTCGGATTAATTTTTTACTTCATTATTTTATTATTTATAATGTATGACAACTTAAACTGATACGTATATTCATGATACATTTTATATTATCTATGACTGACTGACTGACTGACTAGCTAATTGACATTGTGATGACTTTAATATTTTCAATAATAACTAACTATTATATATAAGCAATTATGATCTATCAAAACATACATACATTAAAAAGAAACAAAATAAGAATATAAAATGAAATGTTTGTTTGATTGTTTGTTTATTTATTTGTTTTTTTCTTGGCATGAATTAACCGTAACTGTACACTTATTACTGGGGTGGGTGGGGTGAGATAGTGTCTTTACCTTGAAATCTTATAATTTATTTACATGTATAAATGTGTATCTACATAGTATGACATATAGAGAATTATAGCTGTTTTGACACTTTTAATGTCAAGGCATTAAAACAAAAACTTTTAAAATTTGTATTGTACATCAGAAAACTAATGTTACTAGTGACTACAACAATTACAAAAATATTTTTACTAATATAGGAGTTGTGGAGATTATTAAGTTTTTGATTGAGATCATGAACCAACATCAACCAGTGGAGCTAATCCTTTTTGGGTAGAGACAGTTATCTACCTCAGTACAATGGAAGTTGGTCGCGCGATTTCGTGAATTGGTTGATGTTAGAAACTATCACCATTGGATGCCGGCTCAGTGGTCCAGTTGGTTAAGCGTTCGCGCGCGAGACCGAAGGCCCTGGGTTCGAATCCCGCTCGCGGGATCGTGGATGCGCACTGCTGAGGAGTCCCACAATAGGACGAAACGGCCGTCCAGTGCTTCCAGGTTCCCAATTGTGATGGTCTAACATCAATTGGTTCATGATCTAAATCAAAAATATTTTTCTTATTATTTAGTTAAAATATTAATAACTGATACCATTTTTTTAAAAATCGGAAATAATAAGGCTGACAAATTGTTAGTTTCAGAAGGGATTGTGTGGATATTATAGTAATTCTAATAGTTGAGAGATCATGAGTCAATTGAAGATAGACCACTAGGGAGTACCTGGAAGCACTAGACGGCTGTTTCATCTCATTATGGGACTCCTCAATGACAGTGTGCATCCATGATCCCGCCTCGCGAGATTCAGATCCAGGACCTAACAGTCTCGCGCTCCCAGGTTTTTTATGGTGGTCTAGCGCCAATTGACCCATGATCTCGACTATTAAAATTGTTAGTTGTTATCATCGAATGAAAAAAAATATTTTATGAGGAGACCTTTGTATATCTTGGGAAAGTAATTTATATAACCATCAAAATGATAATGATTGATGAAACATTGAAAATTAATGAGCACAGAACAATTGTTTCAAAATTCTGATTAAATTTTTCAACAGCATCTACATTTGATTTTGAAAGTAAAACTATTAATTTTCCATTGGCTTTTAGAAAATATAAAAGAAGGCTTCATTTAATTTAGAAACAATCAAATTGTATCACTAGTGTTCAACTATCAGATAAAGTTTTTAAACTTCTGTTGTGAATTGTATGATCAATCAAGTCGAATGTAAAATAGTAACTCATAAATAACAATGTACATCATGAATTAAGTTTCTGGGTAAGTTATTTAAAAGGATCATGTTCAACGCTAGACGCGATCTCATTTGAAGTCAGAAGTGTGTATTCCTGAATGATTTTATATGAGTTTTCAAACAGCCTTTCAGTCAAATTCAGTTTGCGATAAATATTACTGTAAAATCGTATACCGTTGACAAGGACAATCTACTTAATGAAACATATTTTACATAAAATTAAGTAAATTTCCCTTATAAATCTTTTTTTCGAAATAAAAACCCAAAGTCAAGCAAATAAATAAACACGTCCGTTTACAACATTACTGTTTATCCCCTTATGATGTTCCTTGATCCGCACTTCTAATTTACCACATCTACAGGGGATCAAATACTTACATAACAATTTAAATGACATGGTAGATTATTAAATCTCATTTGCTATAAATAATTTAGTTTTCAACCATAATAATAGTCAGGATGGATAGTGGCTAGAAGTGGAATCCAGGATGCGCGTTTCGTCCTATTTGGGACTCGTTATCTGGACGTACCTGTATTCACTCCGGGACTCGAGCCCAGGACCGTTCGCTTCAAACGCAATCGTATTATCCACTTAGCTACTGAGTCCTAACAGCCACTAGCTTGTGCAGTGGGGTGAATTTAAATTCACTTGGTATTGTTTGACTTGTATCTTCCCATTGTTATTTAGGATTTCACTGCTAGCCAATATCCATCTTAGCCTAAGAAAGCTTGTGACTTAAGGCTATATCGAGGCAGTTCGCACAGGATTCAATTATGCCAACAAGAGATTGACCAGTTCATTCCTAAATAGTAATGGGAAGATACAATTAAAACAACGCCAAATTAACATAATAATAGTTATTGTTATTATTTAAATATAATTGGATTTGATTTTATATGGTTCTCAAAGTTAAATTCATGAGTCGACCTAAGCTAGATAACCATTGAAAACTTAAAAGCATTGGACTGTCGTTTTGTCCTGGTATGGGACTCCTCAACAGAGCGAATCTACGTCACCTCACCAAAGGGACTCAGAACTGGGACCTTATATCTTACACGTGAACACTTTACCTGTAGACCACTGAACGGGCACCCGACGATGATGATTTTCAACTTCAATCCAACCATGATCTTCAGGAACCCTCCATCCATTGTCTGAGGTAGATAACAGTAAAGGTGTCTATGAATATGGAAAAAAATACATAACTCGTAGCTACACTAGGCTAACTTAACAATGCCATCAGCAAGTTATTACACATACGAGCTTTCTTCAAATTTATTGTATCAGGTAATTTTTGGGCAATAAAATCAGATTTTTTCGGAGGAAAGTTAAATATTCTATAGTAATAGATTGAAAATCTGTTAAATGAAAACTTTCAATGATTTTATTCTTATTATCATAGAACTCACTTGTTAATCTTCACCATAATCTTACTCAACCTATTATTATTGGTACACTTTATATATATATATATTCTTCTTTTCTGGTTAGTATTTTTTAGCGAGCTAGTTTTCTACGGGATGGGGCAGCTAACCCCATGCTCAACCCTACTCTTTTATTCGAGCTTGAGACCGGCAGTAGCCTCCGGAGGGACTCCAGGCGGAGTATATATATATATATATATATATATATATATATATATATATATATATATATATATATATCAAACTAAAACTGATCCAATTTTATTAGAATATCTTTATTTAACGTGAATAAGAATGCAATGAAGACATTAATATAATAATACCAATTTGAACAATTAAATCCTTGTTACTAATCTATATTTAAATGTAATCTATGATCAGGGCTAAGTAACAATTCGGTTACATAAAGTTATTTCATGTTTCAACGCAAAAAAAACTAACTACATATTGTTCTATGTATATCGAACTTGATTTTATCTTTGCAACTAAAATGAATCTGTAATAAAATTTCGAAAAAATCTACAGTGATTACTAACTACAGAGGAAACATTGAAAAATAGTTAACCAAGATATTAACTTAGTGTATTTAATCTGTCTAATAAAACAATGTTCATTGTTAATTCAGTAAAAAATTATCTCGCAGAATGAAATCATGAGTTAGTTGAAGCTAGACCACCATGGAAAACCTGGAATCACTGGATGGCCGTTTCGTTCTAGTATGGGACTCCTCAGCAGTGTGCATCCACGATCCCGTTGGGTGTGGGACGAATCAGCCGTCCAGTGCTTCCAGGTTTTTCATGGTGGTCTAGCTTCAATTGACTCATGATTTCATTTTGTGAAATTTCTAAAATCTCCTTAAATCCCTTCTGATTAAAAATGATCTATTTTATGAAAATATTGATTGAATAAAACTCTTAATCACAATAGATACTCATTATATAGTTTATAACTAGTATAATATTCATACTAATAAAAAGATGCATCACATAATATGAATATCTATTCAAGTTAATAAACAAAATAAATCAGTCCAGTTTAGCTACTTCATAAGTTCTAATAATTATTTAACTGACATATAGAAATGCATTCTTCGTTTTCTTTTTTTTTTAAAAAAAAATGAGATAGAAAAGCCTTATCGAGGTAAAATGTTCATGTTCATTTACTTTAATATATATATATATATATTGTATTCCATCTCTGTTGTAGGTAAACATTCCAACCAACTATTTCTGTGTTTGCATAACCACAGAAAAATTACTTATTCCATCATTCGCCTATTTCTTTTCACTCTTCGCTGTAAATAATGATCTTCTAATGTTCTATTTTCTTTTAGTACTATCATAATTTATCAATAAAAAATTTTAAGTGGTAATTTGTTTGTTTGCTTGTTTGTATTATTATTATTGTTGCTATGTTCCTCATTCCATTTTTCTTATATTTTTATTTAACATTAAGTAATAATGAAGGTTTCTTCTCTTTATATTCACTAGTTTTTGCAGATTAAGTGAATTTCCTTTTTTTTTTGTAAATAAGGATGACAGAGAAATAATGGTATTAGAGAATATAGATGGAAAGGAAGTAAATTATCGTTTATGTATACACAGGCGAACAGGTGATTAATAAAAGCATATTAAAACAACAAACTCTATACATGTGAAAAAGTAGAAGAAATAATGTAGAGACTTAATATTAAACGAAATTTACCCATAAACTATGTACATAAACAAAAGAATGTTGAAGGTTTACCTTGACAATATGATGAATAAGGTTGGTCTGGATGAGAATTTCGATGTATTAATGGTTCATTTGTATAAATGGTAGAAGAAGGAGAAGAGGAACAAATTAGGGATGTAGTAATTGGTGTATGATGATGAGATATTTTTACAAATGAATTGGAATTATGATTAAGAGTATTACTGTATGTAGTTATATGATCAGATGAATGTCTTCCAATACTGTTTAACTGATCACTGTTTCTACAAATAAATTGAAGATAATAATAAAAATGATCAGTGTTGATTTGTTTACAAAAAAGTAGTATTTAATTCTTTCATTAATAAATATATTCAGTAAATTTATTTATTTACTTATTTATATCAAAAAGGTTTTTTGTGAATATTATTGTAATTTGAGATCATGAGTCAATTGAAGCTAGACCACTATGGTAAGACCTGGAAGCACTGGACAGCCGTTTCGTCCCATTGTGTGACTCCTCAGTAGTACTCATCCATGATCCTGCCTTGCGAGATTCAAACCTAAAACTTATCAGTCTCCCAATGGTGGATGTTCCGCTCAATTTTGTGGATTAATTGAAGCTAGACATTAACACCGTTGGATACCGGCCGGCTCACTGGTCTGGTGGTGAAGCGCTCGTGAGTGGGACTGATAGGCCCTGAGTTCGAACCTCATGAGGTGGGATCGTGAATGTGCTCTGCTGAGGAGCCCCATAGTAGAACGAAATGGCCGTCCAGTGCTTCCAGGTTTTCTATGGTGGTTTAGCTTCAGTTGACTGATGATCTCAACTATTGAAATTATTTACTAATTTTCCAACTTCAGGGGAGTCCTATGCTGGAGTGAAAAATTAGTTTAGTGTTTCGTGATGTTTAATGATACCCCAACTGACAGCAATCTGTGATGAATATAACTTGAAAATTAAACAATTCCCCACAAAACCGCTTAGACTAAATTTTCATTTATTTAGATAAACACAATATGCACTAAAAATATAATTTGGATATTATAGTCAAACGTTTTTTTAGCAATAATTCACTAATCGTATTTAAATCAATATCAAAGCAATAGAAGTTTTATGGAAAATATTTGTATTCTTCATCATATTGATTTTGTGGATATATAAGAATTAAATGTAGTTTTCATCAAGAACTGATGTCAATCTAGAAAGCGGCAATCTGCGAAAGTAAACAACTTTTAGAAATGAGATACTAGTGTATTCATAGAAGATATTGATTACGGTCACAAATGTATAAAGCAGGAAAAAGAGTTAACAGTTATGCTCTGTCGTATTAGGTAATCGTATTGGCCTCAAAACATGAAGTTTATAAGGTTCACGCCTGTATATGTGGGAGGGGGTGATGAATGAGCACTTGTTAAGTGGTTTGAAACTACGAGGAATCTATTGTTCAATGCTCTCTAATTTTAACTAGTTCCTTAACAGACGCCAGTTTATTGTAAATTATGGTTCAAAGGCTACAAGTAGAAATATAAAAGAATAGCTATCATCCTATCACTTTGTTAGAAAAGATAAGGAATAAAAGTGATAAAGTCAAATTAAAATTACGATATGCTATCTAGAATACCAACCGGATCTAGATTACTAGTAAACACTCAACATTTTTTTGTAAGTGAAATAATATTACGTCGGAATAATACAATATAGGAGTATGTACCACATAAACTTGACCCGATATAAGATTGATTTTGTTCAAGGCTATTTGTTAAACTACCAACATTATTCACATAGTTAAAAATGAACGTTATCTATGTTCGTCTACATTAGTATAAGATCTGGAATAACAGTAAAGTGCTCTAATTTACCCGTATAATCCACTTATTAATGTCGAACTTACATACTAATGTTAGTTAGGAGGAATCAAAATAAATCAACATGTTATACTTACCTTGTCAGCAGTAATCATAAAATAAAATAATTTTGACTGCATAACTATGAAAAATAACAACGAAGACATCATTTGGTAGCTGACTGATAAATAACAAGGGATTGTGTGAAAATTTCAGAGATTTAGTCTTCAATTCACTGAACAACTCTAACTCACTGCTACAGAACTAACCTGACTTGATTAGTGGTACTATAACATTTAGTTCAAAACAACGTGTAAAATACCATCTGAAACTAGATCTGATTCCAATGGAGGACATGAATCACATACACAAACCTAAATCAGACTTTTGACCGGGTACACAAAGTATATTAGTCAGTTGTTCTTTTTTCGGTTATATAATGATTCCATATCAAACAACAAAAAACCGGATGTAATTCAGATTTTGAACTTTTAAGAAACAAATAGTTTGTGAGATATCAGTAACTGTTATTGAAATATCATCATAATCTTTACTTTTATTTATGTTAGTGATGTGAATCTAGTCAAAGCAACTTTGTTAATCAACACTTTTGGTCAACATGAAGGATTTAAAGCTGATTACATTATCTGATATCATAGGTTATTTACCTTTGTACTTAAATAATCAAGGTTATCAGGTTGATCATTTATTAAGATCTGAACACTTAGATTCCAAATGAGTAAACTAATGACTCCTCGCACTTCTGTTTTGCTTGACTATGTTTCTTTTTAACTTCAGACTGTAAATCCCACAAATAGCTGATTTTTAGCTTACCGTCATAAATAAATATTTGTGAACTCAAAACTCCATCTTAAAGGAGCCTGTTCTATTATTTTTTTCTACGTATTAACACGATGAAGTGATTCTACACCAGTAAAACATGGCAGTCACCCGTTAAATAATTCAATAGGTAATAATCAATAAAAAGTCCTCATTTTATTGTGAAAACAAGATCATTCAAGACAAAACTGATCAATTTGAAAAGAATTTAAGTAGTCGACAGAGAGACGATAACTTTCAATGTCGAAAATTATGATGTCACTATATGTTATTATGGTAAAACGTGACTTTAATAGACTACAAAAGTATTTAAATGTGTTTGAAATGCACTTGTTCCCTTGAAATTCATCTTGATAAAGCCGAACATATTGGTATTAGTGTCAAAAGCCTTTTTTGTGTGCATAAAAATGATTTCAAATCTGTGCTTCATTAAACTGCGGGAGACTATCAGAACTTATCGAAATATATGAGATAAAATTTTATTATTTATCACGACGATCAAAAGTTTTGTAATTTTAATCGTTCTAAAGGAAAATAAGATACTGGCATTCCCCCAACATCGAAAGTGAAAGCTGTCACAAAATTTATCCACTTTACAATCTTGAGTACCAAGATTTTACTAAACAATTAAGTTAAACAAAGTATGCATACATATATGTCATAAGCAAGTTTATTTTGCGAAAGAAACAGACTTGCAATGGAGCGTCCTAGAGCCTTTACATGGTTCATTATACTGCTTTGCATACTGAAAAGCAAATATTTTCCTTTCAGTAGTCAAACTGTTTTAAAACTACCTGACCAATTTTTAGTTAGTAACTAATCCTTTTAAATTTTGTATAAGGCCGATTAAAACGAACATCTATGTATTAAGAGACCTCTCACAGATTCAACATCTATATTAATCTAACTTTGCCAACAGTCAACCATAATATCAGTATTAACCTGAAGTAGGGATTTAGCCAGTGCACATTTCTGTCAAATTTACAAGCTTTTGTGCTTTCCTGCTCTTAAGCCAAGCCATAGAATATTTCTACATAATGATGATTACATCACTCCAAGTCCCATTCAACTTGCAAAACACAGTGTCTTCAAGTGTGGTCACTGCTTTCTCTTCAACTTGTGAGCCGGCTCACTGGCTGGTCCATCACAGTACATATTAGGCAGTCCCGAGAATCACTAGCCATTATACTGAATTTCAGTGCTTCTGATCACTACATAGCCATTCGAACACAATGTTTAGTCTGCACTGGAAGTGATACGTAAATGACTTTAACTTGTATGTATTTCACGCTAGCTAACCTGATAATTTTAACCAACAAACGTCAAGAACAGATCCAAGATCCTACTGTATTCTCAACCCATCAGGTTGTTAGAAATAGTTCATACTTATCATCAAGTTGGGTGATATGGATTAATACTAATTCAGACTAATTCAAACGCATTAATGCTTTATTCTCAAATTTTGAATGCAACAACACTTCATTCCGTAGCTTGGATTTTGTTGGCCCATTTCTTACTTTTATTCTACAATGCTATTTTGAATACTGATTTTTATTTGTTGCATCTCTTCGCGTTACTCTCATCTGATCATGATAATATAAATGTAGACAACCTGAAAAGATTGATATTTTTGACACTACTTTTATCTGTCTAGTTACAAACAAAGCAAAATGGTGTCATGTCAGTCTGGATATATATGCCATATAAACCACAATATGAATTCTTTCTATCTATCCGTTTGCAAGCAATCCAAGATCTAACCCAAACAAAAATGTATTCGAAACCACCAAGTCTAAATTAAAACCAGTTTAAGGAAATAAATAATACAAAGTTGTCAGTCCAATAGAAATTCACCATAGAAAGACCTAATGAGCATCTAAAATCAAAATTCTCTCAGAATTCAGGCCAAACTTGCTGCACATCCTGTCTACATGCAATATTTTCTTGAAATGCCTTAAAATATTAAGGTATTCAAAGATATAATGTGACTCTGCTTGTTAGGGAAACTTTTTAACATAATGTGATGGAACTGTACATTATGCATTTATAAAGTGTAACCAGACAATCAGAAAACTTGCAAAAATTAAGTTCTTCTTACACATAGCCCACTGGTTGATTTCTAGGAGATACTTTCTTGGCACATATGGATGATATATATTTATCACAGCATCCGTCACCACCTTGAAGAGGTAGTTCTTCTTGATTCTTGACAACATTCATATCCAGGGATTTTGAGGTAGACATGGAAGATGTAACTTCATTCAGTGAAGGGACTGCATACGAAGAAAAACTTGTTGGCATTGTTGAACGGAGTTTCGATCTACTTAAATTAACTCCATGGTTTTGTGAATACCTAAAACAATAGCTCATGAAAATATGTTGTATATCCATACCTGTAAGCCCTATAAGAATCTAAAAAACTTCTTGGGGCATCACGAATATCAAACCGATTTGGGCTTGCATATCTTGTAATTCGATCACTCTGAACAGAAGGACAACTGTTTACAATTTCATGCATGCTAGCTGATCTCATTTCTGAAGAACTCACATCAAACGTTTTTATATGTTCCGCATTACTGGCATTGCTTTCATGCTGCATAATTTCTATGACGGAATTAAAAAACCCTTTTTATCACAAGAATAAATCTGTTCTTGTAGTCTCACTGATGTTAAAATCATCATGAGGTTTCGAGTAGTTATAAAGCAATTTAAAATAATCCATCCATATTTTTGAAGTATTCGGAGTTATACAACCATATATTCATTTACATGACCGGAATAAATGATACAAGAGGCTGCAGTTTCATAACTGAGTGTCAATAAGTTACTGTTAAAAAGTGGTACGAAAAAACAAACATTGAACTGAAGCTGATTTCAATTTCACTTTAAAATGACAGAAATTCGAGTGATCTATTTTAGTTATGACAATAGGTCTTTCATGTAATCTAATTTTCCTTTGAAATTTTTGGCAGATTGGGCACAAACTGCGTCTTAAGCTGGTGAATTCCATTCGTTGATTATTAGATGACAAATAATTTGATATAGACTTGTGAACCATTTAAGTGTCCCCATAAATTCTTTGTTTTATAAGATAGGGAAAACGAGGGAATATCAGGTGCAACTTTACTTCCAAGTAATTTAAAGACTGGCCACGTCACCTCTAACTCTTCTATATGGTACTAAGAATAGGTTTAGTTTAACAAGTTGAGTTTTGCTATTCTGGGAATTGGCTAAGTTGCGGTTTGCTGGACCGTTTCTAACGGCTTAATGTCTGTTTTCACGAAGGGATCAGCCATTTGCACGTATTACTCGAGTTTATGACGAACGATACTCTATACAAAGTCAAAAAGGTTTTAACGTCAGCATGGCTAAAGGCTCAACATATTGACCATAAGTTCATGGAAACTTTGGTGGCTATACAATTGCAGTGTGTAATAGGTTTTAGACCTTGGCTAACGATGAATTCTAGATCATTGCGTTTATGGACAACAGGTAGCTCAATTTCGATAGAACAATCAGAAGACGAAGTTGATCTGAAAAATGCGACGAACTGCTTTTATACACATAAGAGAAGTCTAAATTGACGAGTGACCGAGGCTCTATAAACCTGAGAATTCGTCCTTGACCACTTCTATACAACATTTTAAAGGCCGCATTGGTGTCAATCCTGCGTCCCGTTTCATTTATATCTTTTGTTACTGATGAACATAGTTTCCTGATTCTCGCACTGATCGGAATGTTTGACATTAAGATTTATGGAACATGTGCCTGGATGACTTCAAAATCAGTTGACTTAAAAAACAGCCGGTTGTAAGGAACTTTGCCAACGGCCTTACTGAATTCAATGTAGGCTACATCTACAGGTAGCTTTTGAACTTTAAGAGCGCATCAACTTTCATGGGCTACTAATAAGTTTGTCAGACACGAATAACCTACTTTAAAGCCATTCTGCTTTTCAGAAAGAATCCAGATTTCGTAATGGTATTCAAACAAATACTTTCGAATAGTCTTTTCTATAATTTTAACAACCACATTAATTAGACGTACGGGTCAGTATTTATCAGGTTTGTGTCACGTGTCTAATTCAGAGATAAAACTTACTATGATATTCTTCCAGCCCTTTTGTATTCTAACCTGGGTTGCGGATAGATTAAAACATGCCTAACAGATTTGCGACAAAATGTGCTAGTTCCTGAAGTAAAATACTACGCATTTCATGAACTCCCATGGATTTGCCTATATCAAGCCCATTCGGCAGACCTAATACATCGAGTTATTTAATGGCCACTGTGTCCATAGTGTATGTGAGGCGCTGTATGAGCTGAAGGGGAAGGTATCTCTAGGGTAACTCGAGAATACCTGAGATCCACCATAATCATCCTCCACTAATGATGCAGTACTACTGTCTCCCCATAGTGCTAGGACATCTCCTCTCCTCTTAGTAATTTGGTTAATGTATAAGCATAAGCGTTTAAGGTATTCTATAGACTCCTTAACAAGTTTTTCTTGCTAGAACCTTCTAGACTTGCGGAGGGTTGAAGCACAAATGTTTCGAGCTCCACCATATTGAGATTCTGTCTCGTCGGTGCCCACTAACTTAAATATCTACCATTCTACTCTTACAGAGTAGTTCATGAACCTATTTGCTGAACCATATCACGCAAAGATAAAAACTGATAACAAGAAAATGGTGAAAAATCGTAAAATGTTAGATATATAGTCAAACAAGTGAAAAAGCGAATGTACTCAAAAAGTACGGATGATAAATTGCATTCTGAAATCTTACTCGTGATGTCATCTTAACATGTTTTTGTCATAACTACATGATAGTTGCTTGATACATCATTAAATCTTTATCCTTATTGACTAGAAGCATTAGATGAATTAAAAGTTTCTGATCAGAATGAATGAATTAAATTTAAGTGTTTGAATCTTGTCATTGGTGAGCCATATATGTTCAAATGTGGAAACGCCTTACTAACTGGTAAGTCCCCAAAAAAGCAGAATATCATGCCCGAAAATAATTTTTACTGCTGGTCTTTTTACTTGCAGTTTATAAAAATGTTTAAGAAAATTGCTACAGTTATTTCAAAGCTACGAACTACTATATTGAATTTCCTGATAATGCTTACGCGAGTAGCATTAAATTTGCTGAGGTTATCAGGTTTATCCATAGGGGTAAAGTGGTAAACTGTAATATACCATTCTTCTTGCTGTGTTGCATGGCCACTCTTATGATAAGTTCTACTGCAACAAGATCACGTCACAGAAAGTGTAACTAATAATAATAATACTTCATTCTCAAATGACAGTCTGTTATATGAGGCATGCCAAGTACGATCAAATTGTGATAGTCTTCACTGTAAGGGGTTACTCAATTAGGTTGATATTTCATAAGCTAAATTGGACATAGAATTACGGGGAATAACACTTCTCACATATGAATGTAAACAATATTAGTAAGACTTGAATTGTCATTATGACAGCGTTGTGTTGCGACGTTCAACTGATGGTCTGGATTAAATCCACAAAAAGTTAAGAGTTTCTAGAGACCATGACCTTATATTCCTCTGAAATATCTGAGGCCTTGATGACGGCGCAATGCAAAGTCACCCGTCCCATATCTCGAGAGGGTTGAAAACGAGAGTAAGAAAAAGGAAGGACGAGAAGCAGAGCAGACAATTTTCATGCCTACTGAAGTTGAGTCATTTGTGGAGGGATAGTTTCTTATGACTACTCAGTCTTATTCTCTTCTGTTAAAGTACTTTTGAAGCAAGAGCTTTCTAAGAGATTAAAGAAAACAAGCGTAAATAAGCTATGAGTGGATAAAGAACTGTATAAATCGAGTTGGTTTCGAAAAAAGCCGAAATTGTAGGATTGTGTGTAGTTTTAAAATATAGTACTGAAAACAGTATTCTGATACACAAACAGCAAACCCTCCTTTGTGTCGAAACTATTTCAGCTCATTTTTATTTTTTAAATTTTATAGGGTCATGAGCCGACGATGTTTTTAACGAATTGTCTAGTTTTACTTTTAATAGGATTACTCGGTAGGAAGTTATGCCGATTAACCGTCACAATAACAATTTACAGAGGTATTTTACATTGTAAGTTAGAAGTACAGAACACATTAAGTCTAATAGCTGCTACTAGAGTTGAAAACAAATTTCACGCTTTTAATCATACTGTAAATCTAAGTCCATGCACTGACCAAATAAAAGGAAAATTACTAACAACAAGTGTAAGATAAATGACAACATAATATCCATAAATTTACCGGAACTCGGTGACTTCCCTCTAGATTTCAGAAGAGAACATTACTTCGTGCAGTGGAAGTAATGTGATAACTAACTGAATGTTTCTTCGCCATCGTCATAATTATTATCCGGTTTTCCTGCAATATTATCCACTGGTACCGATTTCATTGAGTCACTACCGAAGTCAAGTGTCTTAACTCAGAACAGACTACCTGTAAAAAAATAAAACTCTGAAACTTCCACAAAGTGTTTGTCATTTCTCCATTCCTTTGCTCTGTCTTTTATCTCAAGCTTTACTCAGAACTCTTGCAACCGTGTTCCATACGTTCGTAAAAATTTCGTCCAATCAGGAGTGAGCGGAATTCACCTCGAAGCTTCTAGAGAGATGATAGACCACACGCCACTACTGTGATTGTATAATTACATTCTTACTGATATATTTAACGTACTCATAATACTTTCTAGACCATCAAGGTCACGCTAAGTGAGTTAAATGTTCACGAATTCTTATATATGTCCTAATATTGGCGCAATGCCAATTTTGCACTTGACAACTTTTCTCTTGTGTTCAAACTGCTGCATATATTTAGTCCGCACTTATTAGTGGTAGCTTAGAAATCGGGTCTAACATTCAATCGGCAGACTCATCAGCTACTCAGATCCTTTCTCATGCATATTTAACCTCACTTGAAAATGCAGTGTTATTGGTTCTCAGCTACATGATCCTTGAAGCCATATATGCGAGCATACTTTGTCGTATCTTAGTGATGATTAGTATTCACAGTCAGTTTACTCGCTTCACCAATACCAATGACTGTTCAACTGAAATAATGCTTAGTCATAATGATACATTAACATATTTTAGCAGCACTTGCTTCAGTAAAATAGGTTTGTTAAGACACCGGTCACTAACAAATATACCGCCTAATCGGCGTGAGTACACATAGGTTGGCAATTAATGTAAGCAAGGACTGGGTGACTATCCGGATCTAAGTCTTCACATTTCTTCTTATATAAACACATTACTTTGTTTTAAACTATAAACTATCTCTTAATATGTTTCGACGATTACAATTTCTGTAGTCCTAAAATTTTGTATTAGATCTATTATTCTAGTAGCAAAGATAAATGCGCTTAATAACGATCTAGACCACAATTCTTTGAGAATGCACTTATTGATTCTCAGGTACGGAACGAATGTATATTACCTATTCTTTTCGGCTTTTGGTACACTAGTTTGCGCTTGAGAAACCTTTGACTGTGTAGTAGAAGTAGCAACGCTTGAGATATTTCCTACTTTTGCTACATTTTGTTTTCTTCGTCAAATTGGAACCAATTAAATTAAGTGCAAACTTCTGCTCTAATATAATTGAATTCAAGTAACTCAAAAATGCTTTTTATGGCACACAGAATAACGTGGTTCAATATAACAAGACACACCTTGCTTGTTTGTCCTCTGCATTCAGACCAAATATTGGAACTTTAATAGTTACAATATCAATGTCGTAAGACTCTCCACAAAATGAACTCCACTGTTTAGGCATGTTCTTCACGTAGATGACACAGCATTTTACCTCTCCTG